AAAAAAAAAAAAATCAATATGTCCCTTTATTTACCAAAAAAAAGTTTAAACAAGTTTGAACAAATTATCATGGATTATTTTGCTCCCAATAAAGACAACTACAAATTCTAAAATCAAATTTTTCTTTGTAATTGTAAACGATGCCAATTTTAAAACTGAACTCTTAAACAATTTTAGCAGGTTTTTAACCATCTTTTAGACAATACAGGCAACTGTGACAATTCTCTTAAAACATGCTGCACGGGAAAAAGATCTAAACTATAAACTCCCTAAAGGAGTAGTGTTCCAGCTTTATATAATATTGATAGGATAAAACACCTGGAAAAACACAAAACTTTTAACTTTAATAATATATTATCTTTGCTCTTTCAAGAGTAGTTTCAACCACGCTGCTAGCTAGAGAGAGACACCTTTTGAAATATAGAATAGTAGACCAAGAATAGTAGACCAAGAATAGTAGACCAAGAATAGTACATCGAGAATAGTAGACCAAGAATTGTAGACCAAGAATAGTAGACCAAGAATAATAGACCAAGAATAGTAAACCAAGAATAGTAGACCAAGAATAGTAGACCAAAGATAGTAGACCAAGGATAGTAGACCAAAGATAGTAGACCAAGAATAGTAAACCAAGAATAGTAGACCGAGAATAGTAGACCAAGAATAGTAGACCAAAGATAGTAGACCAAGGTAAGTAGATCTAGAATAGTAAACCAAGAATAGTAAACCAAGAATAGTAGACCAAGAATAGTAGACCAAGAATAGTAGACCAAGAATAGTAGACCAAGAATAGTAGACCAAGAATAAAAAACAAAGCTTACTAGACAAAGAATATTGAAAAGGAGTGTAAGGAAAAGAATGTAAAAATATAAAGAAAAGAATCATTTTGTCCATTCATTTGCATCAAGTATGCTTAGATTGGAAAATAAAAGATTGGATCGGATGTACCCTTTCTAAATATTCCCAGCCTAGCAAGCTCTGTTTTTATATAACTTTGGTGTCCGTTTGTTCTTTTCCTTTTTTTATTTTAAGAAACCAGCACACCACCATATATACTCCAACTTTATCTAGATAATCTCTAAAAGTTTTGTAAATCCAACCTTCTCTCATCTCTCTTCATCTCCTCTTCTTTCTTATAAGATTTATATTAAAAGATTTTCAATAATAGCTTAGATTAGAGGAAGGGGAGGATTAGAAGGAAGAAGAGAAGGGAGGAGAGAGGGAGGAGGATATGGGAGTAGGAGGATGAGAAGAATGGAGTATGAGGAAGAATAGGAAGTAAGGATAGGGGAAGATGGGAAGGAAGGAGAGAATAAGAAGGGAGAAAAATGGGAAGGAAGAACAGGATGAAAAGAAAAGGGGGAGGATGCTAAGGAAAGAAGTGGGGAAGGATGAAATGGGTTGGGAGGAAGGGTAGGACGAGAAAGAATGAGATGAGGAGAAAGAAACAATACTCATACTATCCAAATTCTTTTTTTTGAGGGGGAGGTTTAAGAACTAATCAAACAGTACCACAAACAGATTTTCCGGAGGCCAATAATGATCAAATTCTTTTTTTCTCGTTTTTTCCAGCCAAACTAATGATAATAATAAAGAAAAAAGACTCAAGCATGGCGTTTTGCATCTTTATCTATTTTTATAAATCACAGTCAATTATGCATGTCACTGGTTGAGAAGTTCTTATAATTTATTTTATGTTATATAATAAGCAAGCTTTAATCTATTCTATAATCTAGTACTTAACAATGGAGAAAAAAGATCAAGCATTTAAAGCAAACTAAAAGGTGATTTTATTGTTATATTAATTATTCTTTTTCTCATGGTTCCAAATAATACTGGTATATTTTTTAACTTTTACTCATCTTTTCATATTGTATGTTTCGTTTCAATATACTAAGAGAAATAATAATTTAACAAAAAACTTATTCTGATTTTTTATATAATTGTCTGCTAATACATCTAATGCAAACACATGCAAGAAATATAACCATTTAACTTGCTAACTCTGTCCGAACAAAAAGTTCATCTTCGAAACTTTAAGTTAAAGTGAGACTAAAAAAACTGGCGATATAGAAAGACATAATTTATGCACTCTAACCTTTCTCCGACTCCAATGTGTAGCTGAAATTCTCAAAAGGCAAATAGCTTTACGAAGTAGCTTTAAAATCAGTTTAATTAGTAAAATTAGTCTGTACACCCTTCTTAGCACCCAAACTATTAAAGTTATCGGTCTATTTTTTTTTCTTTGAGCTGGCCATGAAAAATTGGGTTATGCACATACCAATTCTTTAAGGCCTTTTTCAGGCTATACATAGATTCAAAATATAAAAAATCATGATAGGATAACTTAATTATACTTTTAGTTAAAGTACGGTTAGTTCAAACCAACGTAAAACGGAAACCTTCAAATCTAAAAAAAAAGATAGAAGGGAATTAAGTCTTTGCCACAAAATCAGTTTTTCTAATCCTTTTTACTTTGCAACCTGATGGTGTAAACCTTTGATATTTTAACCTTGGATTAGTTGATCTAACACATTTTATAGTTTGAAATATATAAGGTCTACAACATTGGGTTGCAAAGATTGTCGATTAGAAAGACTCAAATCCTTTGTAATTTAAAACAAATATGACTGATGTATTTTAAACATGTTCAGCTGGTAAATTTTTGGAGTTGTAGCAGTTACAAATTTAAAAAATCCTTTGTGACATTTATTATTAAAAGTATTAATAAACGACTTAATTCCGCATTATTCATTTACGAAAGTAGGTCGTTTTTTTACTTTTCCCGATCATTAACGATCGTTAACGACCGTTTATGACGACCCTTTTTAAGAAAAAATACATTTTTGATCAGAAAACATTCAGGTTTTTTCTCTCGATAAAAAAACATTTCAGACAACAATCATAAACTTATCTTCCTAAAAAAAATATTGAAATTAATTGTCATAAAACTCAGATTCTTTAGCAACATTTTTTTGTTAAATTCATAACGAGTGGGGTTTTTTCAAAAACGATCGTTTTATTCTAAAATCGAAAAGATCGTTTTTAGAAAATAAGGAAACCGAATCGAAAAACAATCGTTTTTTTCGTTTTAAAAACTATTAACAACTCTAACAACAAGCCTGTAGACAAGCCTGTCCTAGCCACATCCTTTCTGGATCAAACCTTCAAACTAAACTAAAATCTGTAATTAAGATCTAAACACTTGACACAACTGTAATTGTCAATTCTTCTATCTTTTTGCTACCTCATGGTGTAGTCGTTTAATTATCTTAAACTAGTATCAAATAGTAAAAATTGAAATATCTAAGATTTGCCCAATCAGATTAAAAATAGGGATTCTAAACATAGAGTTTGTGTGTTCAGTGTCCGAATTTAATGAATTTGAGCCACGTCTGAAATCCAGCAAAACCCAGTTTCAATTGAGCGCCGGCTTAAGTCTTGAAACATTGAATACATTTTTTAGTGAAACCAACCATATTTGAGCCGCGGCTTAAATTTAAGCCGCCGCTCAAATTCTTTAAATTCGGCCTCAATTCCAAAAAAATAATTCACTTTACTGGAGGAAAACAAATTCTACGTCTAATTTTTATTGTATAAAATATTTTGAAAATATATCAATAACTACATAATGACACCAATTGTTTCGATAATTATTAAATATTATATTTAACATTAAGATTCTGGTAACTTTGATCAATTAAGAGTTTATTGTTAATTATTATTACTATCAATATTTATATGACTAATTATATTAATTGATCAAATGCTGATGAATCACAGACAATATTAAGATTAAGACAGATTTACACTTTTATTAAAAAAACATGAATAAGGGATTTTTTTTAAAACAAAATGTTAAAAAAAGATATAATGAAATTTATGTTAACAAAAGTTGGTTTTGTTAGTTGCTAATTATTCTAAAATAAACTATTATTTTCGTTGATTAATCTTAATCATTTTGACTATTCCGTTGTTGTACAATTAGGAATATGAAATTTTATGTAAATTTTTAAAATTTGTTCGTTATTTTTTTTTTGGTTTATTATTTTTATCTTTATTTTAATATACTTGTGGATGTGAGGTAAGCCACCCAGGTTTTCAGAAAAATAATGCTTAATTGTTTTGTTATTTTTCCTTTGTTTTGACACCAATAATAGTTTTTACAGAAAACAGCCACAATTTTCTTTTTTCTGTCACAATAAGAAAATTGATTTTTATACAATTGTATCACAACAATATAGAAATATAATATAATGGACAATTATCCATAATATTTTTACATAAGGCCGCCAAGGGAGTAATGACTCATATAAAAACATTCGGCCCTTTTTTGTGTTTTGAAACCATTGATAAAGAAACAAGGATTAGAAATTTCACAAAAATTCACCTTAAAATGTTTTTTTTAGGTAAATTAAACTTATTTATTCTTTTAACCATTTTGTATACTTTCAGTGATAAATATATTTATGTAAAATTTAGGAAAATGATTGAATTTCTTTACAATTACACAATTGGAAATGAAATTGAATAATCTCAATCTTCTTGAACGAATGCAATGATGAATGCAAAATCTTCAGTTTAATTTAGCTTCTGTAAAATTATTGTAAATTTATGGAATTTTTTTCTTCTCGGAAAGACAATTTGAGTAATCTTTAATTTTAAGGCATTTATTTTTGATGTAGGAGGGGGTAGGGATGGGGTAGGGGGGGGAAGGGACAGGGGAAGGAGGAGGGATGGGTTTGGGGGGAAAGGGCAGGGGAGGGAGCAAGGCACATTACACCTCTCCTGTCTGGGTTCAAGTTTTACAAAATACAAAAAAGAATGAATTTTAACCATTTAACGTGCCCGTGAATCCCTGAGTTAAGAATAAATTTTTATGTTCGATGGTCGTCCTTTCCCTTTTCTTTAGAACCCGCCTTTGTCTTGTTTCTCTGTGTAATACTAGAGAAGCATTATCGTGTTTTCTCCTACAACTAATATTTTCCTAACTCTTCAAGAAATAGACACAAGAAGAATAAGGGCAAAGATCCCGATCTTGTGTGAACATGAGGAGTTGGAGATCTTGGTAGATGCCTCCTGCTTGATCTTGTCTCGAACCTTCTTGACCAAGGATTCGTGTTCTCCAGGTGTGTCATTAAGCACGATCACCTTCTCCTTGTTGATCTCAGAGTTGATGAAGTATGTGGTGTAGTTCAAGGGTCTGTTCACCTTCCTCCCCTCCAACCCTGTCGTGAATATCTGCAGAGTTGTTGGTGCTGTTGTTGGGATGTCTACACGGTTGTTGGTCCGAGCTGTTGTTGGGCTGTAAAACTTCTTGGTCTTGTCTGCAATCTTAAAGACGACCTTCATGTTGTGATTCATGCAGTCTCCGTGAATTCTCCTACACAATAGAAAATCAATTTATCAACAATTTTGGATTTTAGATATTTTAATTTATATTCTTAGATGATTTAAATTCTTGATTTTTTCAATTATAAATGTATGAAACAGTAGATATTATTAAGTACGTTTAAAGGTACTGTAGGCGTATGTGTGACCCTCAATTCTTGGAGCGGCATGTCCGATTCTCAACATAGGTACAATTCTTGACTGATAAAGAATGTCGGACTTATTCGTAATAATTTTAAAAACCGCTGGTAATTGATACAAATATTGCGAGCTGTTTCAATTTTTTGAAAATTATTTATTTAGACGTTGAAATATGTCCGCAGTATTTCACAAGTATCGTCAGCTGAGTGTACGCTATGTACCGTACACTTCGGATTGCCTGAATGGTCACTTGAAATCATGCTTTCAGTCACTTTGAATATATTTAATTGTTCTTTTTCTGTATTATAGTCAATACTTTGACCCACTTAGGCAAATCTTGATATTATAATTAAATTGTGTAAATAGAAGACGACTTTTTATTTGCATTAACCCTTTATCTGAGTCAAAATGAGGAAGATATTGTCGTGATATTATTTTAAAAATTGTCACTGACAATTTTTACATTGCCCCTGAGACCTAAATCCGTATGTCACTATTATTTAAGAAACCACAATTGAAAATAATCAAGTTTGAGTGAAAAAAACAAGGATATCTCGTTGATTTTTGATCATTTACAGAGTCATTTTAGGATCACTTAAACTTACATTTACAGTCCCTTTAAGTGTCCTTGTAATACAGGACGAACTGCTACCTGTAGATGTCCTCCTTACTGGAGGTGGAGATGAAGTAGTAGTCCTGTCCTGCCTTAAACTCAAGCATACCAGGCATAGGGGAGAAGGATCGGAATGAAATTGTAAAAAATCTAAAAAAAATACATTGCTTGTTTTAAGATGAAATTCAAGTACCCCCTGAAAATAATTCCTTTGTTAAATATTATAATCTCAATTTTTCATTTTAAAATGATGATAGTGAAAATTAAACTTTTAGAATATAGTTTTTAATATTGCTTTTTCGGTTTACCTTTCTCTGTAGGGGTCATCACATTTGGCCAATATCCTTGGATGGGGGTTTAGTATCCGACACGTATCAAACTCTTCTTTATCCACACTGTAGATCACATACCGTTCAGTATCCTAGAATTTTATATTTTAAGATATTTGAAATTTTGCTTAATTCTTAGAATAAAATGCATAAATTATTAATTTGCATTCTGTTTGCAAAAATCCATATTGTAGCCCAGGTCGGTTTTTGCACAAACCAACTTTTTTTAGCTTCTGATAATGTATTTTTATATTTAGATAAAAGAACTGATTACTCCCTTCAAACTCAAAGTTTTTAAACGTTAAATCTTTGCAACCTAATGTTGTAAACCTTTAGTGCCTTAAACTATTTGATGAGATAGATTAAATTCAAAATTTTGAAGCTACAAAGATTAGGGAGTAAAGATAATAAGAGTAATCAGTTTTTATTATATACTCCACAAAGGTAGCAAGCTCTCATCCAAAATTCGATGAAAATTTTGAAAATCAATTAAAAACTGCAGCAAGAATTGATTAGAATTTTTTAAAATTTACATGTCTCGCTAGAGCCGCAAAAACGTTTAACTTAGTTAGTAAGGGAAAATTAAAGTACAAGGCATTGCGACACGCAAAAGTCGATCCGGTCTTGAAATCTGATGCAATTTTTCATAACAATCTGCAGTATCTGTGTGTCTAAAAAAATGACAGTTTAAAGACCCTTTTACAAGTTTTTTGTTTAGTCGCAAGATATCTTGAAATAATGATTACAGCAAATGTTTAAATATTTTATGTGTATTGCCCACGCCATTTAGTATAAATTTGGGTCGGCTTTTATACAACCAAAAACTAAGAATATTTAACATACTTTATTTCTCGCAACTATGCCGTGGTTACGCGCGCTGACTCAATCCTTATGATATTTTTTTAGTTTAGTCCTCCTTTTCCATATTATTTTTGTGACCACTGCATATGAGAAATTTTCATTAAATCTTTATGTCTGCTATTATCTGAGAAAAGTCTCGTTTCAAACCTTCTGGAATTTGATAAATGTAAAGTATGTATTTAGAGAAAAGAGGAAAGATATTAAAAACTTTTAATCGTTCCTGCATTGATCTTCTTTAAATCAAACCTAAATAGAAAAAGTTTTAATAAATGTAATTAAGGCAGTGCACTGAGGTCACATTGCCTGACTTGAAACCAAAAAACAATAATATTTATGTTTCCTAGGAACACAAGGTGCTACTTATACGATATTTTAATTAAAAAATACAACCATGGTTGCTGAAATATTTCTTATTATGATTTATTCATGTTATGACAAGATATTTAATGTATATACAGGTAAGTTTTGCATTAATTACTTGATTGATTAGTTATTAATTGCTTGATTTTTAAACTTAAAATTGCTTCAAAATCTAGTAAATTGTTTGATTGGTTGAACTATTAATTAATTGCTTGTAGTAAATAAATACAGCTACTTCATAGCAAGTTCTCGAAACGTATCTATCCAGGTACAATCCGTCCATTTTTAAACTCAACAAGGACTGAATCCCAGGCTCTAAATTGCCACACAAGGACTCAAGCGTATACCGATCCCAAATGATAGGGATGATCCAATGCTCTAAATGTCACACAGGGACACAATCCACACGGCTACAATCCCGTGAACTATCAACGCCACTACATGGGTGCGATCTCGTTAGCTATCGATGTCAATACAGACGCTAGCAATCAATTGATCAATGTCTCAAACAGGACACAATCCACACGACTGCAATCCCATGACTTATCAACGCCACTACACAGGGCGTGATCTCATTAGCTATCAATGTCAATACAGACACTAGCAATCAAATAGATTAATGTCTCAAACAGGGCACAATCCACACGACTGCAATCCCATGAACTATCATCGCCACTACACAGGGCGTGATCTCGTTAGCTATCAATGTCAATACAGACACTAGCAATCAATTGATCGGTGTAAACTAGGACACAATCCACACGACTACAATCCCGTGACTAATCAACACCACTATACAGGGCGCGATCAATACAGTCACTAGTACTTAATAGATCAATACCAATACTTAAGGTATGATCTCCACTCATATGTTTCAACGATCGAACCAAATTACTTCTAATACCATAATTAAAGCAGAGTCTCAATCAACTAACTTTATTTAATATCTTATGTCACAAAGTTAACAGGAATTGACGTAGTTACAATTCCTACAATAGTATCTATATTTCATGATTAAGATCATCGTAATACGCAAATAGATTCTAGTACAATAGATGGCAACGTATAATTTGTACACTCACAGTACAGCTGTATTCTGATTTCACAAGTGTCAATTCAGTTTTTGTGTCCGACAAAATTATCAATAATAGTGATAATTTAAGTATAAATTGCTTATCTTACAGTAAAATAAGTGCAATTTTATGTGATCTTTATTTTCTGTTTTTACACTTTTTTATTTAATCTTGGAAAACACATGTCAGCTAATGTGAGACAATTTCGTCTTCCTTGTTATATTTGACACTTGTGACGTCGTGTATAATAGGTTGATTTCTCTGTTGCCACCTATTGTACTTGATCATCTATTTGGTAATACGTATTTAAAAGGTTTAGAGAATAGATATAATGCAGTTAAGTTAACTCTGCACATGTTTATAGCGTAATTTAATTATGTCGCATGATTTAAGCTAATCATATTAAGTATTCTATTCAAAAATGTCATTATGTCTAAGATTACAATCTTAAATCACTTATAATGTACAACGTACTACAAATTTACAGAGTATCATGTTTACACAATTTTTTGCTACAAACTTGCTCGCTTCAAAAGCTTGATTTCTTGAAAAATAAATCAAATTATTTCCCTCATTTATTGAACATTCATGAAATGTATAGATTGCTTTAAAAACTTTTTGCTTTAATATTTGATTAACAATTAATAAAATGGTCTGAATGGATCAGAAATGATCAGAAATGGTCTGAAATGATCTAAAGAAATTGAGTCTTTGCCACAAACTCTGATTTTCTAATCCCTATATCTTTGAATTCCAACGTCGTAAACCTTTGACATTTCAAACTATGACTTTTGCTAGATAAAATAATATAAGTTTGAAATATCAAAGATTTAAGACATTGGGTTCCTAAGATATTGGGATTAGAAAATCAGAGTTTGTGGCAAAGCCTCAAGTACTTTGTCAGATTTGGTCTGATATGGTCTGAATTGATCTGATGGTCTGAAATGGTCATACATGGTCTGATATGCTCTGAAATGGTCAGATTTGGTCTGAATATGTCAGATTTGGTCAAAAATGGTCTTATATGGTCAGATGTGGTCTGAAATGGTCAGATTAGGTTTGAAATGGTCAGATTAGGTCTGAAATGGTCAGATATGGTCTGAAATGGTTTTGTATAATCTAAAATGAAGTAAAATGGTCTGAAATGGTCTAAAATGGTATGAATTGGTCTGATGTGGTCTGAAATGGTCAGATTTGGTCTGATATGGTCTGAAATGGTCTAGTTTGGTTTGAATTGGTCTGATTTGGTCTGAAATGGTCTGGTTTGATCTGAAATGGTCTGAAAGAGTACCTGCTCTGGGACTAGTTTGCTGTAGCTAGGACAGATTATATTAATCTGATCATACTCATGGGGTAGAGTTCCCTGGTTCACATCTATTATATGATCAGTGTTGTCAATCCGAAATCTAAATTATAATCATCATCATTATTATTATCATCATTGTTATCATCATAATAATTATCATTATTATTATCATCATTATTATCATAAACATTATTATCATCATAATTATCATTATCATCATAATTATCATTATCATTATCATTATCATTATCATCATAATTATCATTATCATTATCATTATAATTATCATTATCATTATCATTATCATTATCATTATCACTATCATTATTTATTATCATTATCAATATCATTATCATTTTCAAAATAATTATTCTTAATTTTCATTATTATTGGCCGGGTCAGATAAGTCATTTTTTTCCACATATATTTATTTCAATATTTCATTATATAAGGTATATAAGGTATATAAGGTATATGAGGTATATAAGGTATATAAGGTATATAAGGTATATAAGGTATATAAGGTATATAAGGTATATAAGGTATATAAGGTATATAAGGTATATAATGCTTGACAGATGCATTTATTTTATTAGTATTTCCATCTTTATTGTAATAATTAACAATATAATTTTAATTATTCTCATAATTCAAAATGTATAAAATCCTGTTTGTTTCTAGTTTCTTAAAGTTTATTTACTTTATTTTAAGTGAAAAACAAACAAAAAAAACAAAAGTATAATATTTTAAATATTAAAGAGTTGAAAAAATATCAAAGAATTAGAAAAATATCAAAGATTTGGAAAAATATCAAAGAATTGGAAAAATATCAAAGATTTAAAAAATATCAAAGATTTGGAAAAATATCAAAAATTGAAAAAATATCAAAAATTGGAAAAGTATCAAAAATTGGAAAAGTATCAAAGATTTAAAAAATATCAAAGATTTGGAAAAATATCAAGAATTGGAAAAGTATCAAAGATTTGAAAAATATCAAAGAATTGAAAAAATATCAAAGATTTGGAAATATATCAAAGAATTGGAAAAGTATAAAAGAAATGAAAAAATACTATAGCAAATTTGAGTTCATGGCAAGGACTCAATTCCTTTGTTGAAGTAAATGATCACTTATCTCAGACTCTTGTTTTTTTAAGATGATATAAACATTAAATATTTCAATTTTTTAATGTTTGATTTAGAAGAAATATTAAAGGTTTCCACAATCCAGAGTTCAGGTTTGTTTAGAGTGCTTGAATGCGTTTTATATCAAGGAATTGAGTCTTTGTCACAATCTCAAATTTTCTAATAACCATATCTGAGTGAAATAACAAAGTTCTACGACTAAGGTTTCAAAGGTAGAGGGATTAGAAAATCTGAGTTTTTCCTTTGTTTTTTATATACTCACATTGGATTTGTAGTATTCCAGTAGAGATTAGGATGTTTCTGAGTTCTGCTAGTTTTTGCAAAAGTCCTGTAAAAAAATATAATAAAATTTTCTTTCGGATGAAAAATGAAAATTTTGAAGATATATCTTGAGATAAATTCATGTTTACTTAGAATATTTCTATTTATCTAGAATCTGTTCAAAACTTTTTACAAAATTAAATTATTTCTTGAAAAAAGTAATTGCATCTTAATCCAGATTTTATGATGTACTTAATTGTGACTAGCTAAAGGGTAAAATTATGAATGAGTGGCAGGCATCGTCCTGAATTTCAAGTGTAAATGTTTATTCATATCTTTTTATTTATAAGATGAATGCAAGATCTAACAATAATTGCTTCCAATACATAATTTGATGATAAGATAATGGAAGAGAAAATTATGGTAATTACATGCTATTAGCCTCATTATTGAGTTAGACTGCTTAAGGTTACTAAATGGTAACATTAACTTAATCTTTAACCTTTATCCTTTTTTCTCTTTTTTTCTTTTTTTCACAATAATGCAGATAAATTTATATTATTATAAGGCATTAATCTATGTTTTGTCTGTCTGATCTGATCATAACTCCGGAACCTCTCGACCTATTTTACTAAAAATGTTATTGGGAAACTCATTTAAACCAATCTTCTTAGCTCTTGATTTGAAATTCTAAATTGATTGGGTTGAATTTTACAGTGGAAACTTTAGGCAAAGCTGGGTTCCCGAGCCATGTATATAATAGATGGATGTTTTTTCATGAAATTAAAAGTTTTAAGTCTTTTTTTGGAGAAATGACAACCGAGATGGGCCTCAATTGGATTGTTTTCTGAAGTACAATGGAGAACAAACAAAGTATGAAATGTGCTATTTTACAATGTGATCCTTCTCAAAGTCAACTAAAAGTAAACTGACAATATTACTCTATATCTATTTCAACCCAAAATGTTGTGTGAAATATCGAATTTTTCATTTAATTCTTTTTAATTCTGTTTCCTTGAAAGTTTTGCATGTTTATACAATGTTTCCAAGCTCCGAGTTAATAAAAACTTTTAAAATGTTATTTTAACAATTTGTTAAAGTAAACTCGTTACACTGTATCCACTAAATTCATTATTTTAAATGGGGAAAACGTGATATACCTTACAAACATTAAATTATCCATTCTTTCAACTTTTCTTTCTTTAATTTTGTTTCTTTTATTCTTTCTTACTTTGTTCCAGTTTCTAGTATCTTTCTGTCTTTTCTTATTTATTTGTTTCTCTTTTTCTTTTCTTTTCTTTCTTTCTTTCTTTCTTTCTTTCTTTCTTTCTTCTTTCTTTCTTTCTTTCTTTCTTTCTTTCTTTCTTTCTTTCTTTCTTTCTTTCTTTCCTTCTTTCTTTCTTTCTTTCTTTCTTTCTTTCTTTCCTTCTTTCTTTCTTTCTTTCTTTCTTTCTTTCTTTCTTTATTCAAAACATGATTTTATTGTATCGACATTATGTTTCATATATATTTATGGGTGAAGAGTCTAGATAGCAAATAAACAAACATAGACAGTTTGTTTATATTTATAATTAGTAATCAGCTAATTAGATAGTTTGTAGTTAGATCCAATAAACAGGAGATTATGATCATACATGATGTGAGGAACAGCTTTTCCTTTGTTAAATCCCCCCCTCCCCCTCCCCCTCCTTACCCTTACGAATACTTTTCTTCCTTTATGCACATAAACTCGAGACATTCTAATCATTATGCCTTTGCAGACTATTAATAATTTTCTAAATAAATAAAGTTTGAAACATCAAAGGTTTGAACTGTCAGACATAAGGATTAGACAATTTGAGTTTGTGGCAAAGACTCAATTCCCTTTTTTCGTTGTCTACTTTCCCCCCCTCCCCTTTTCTGCAACCTATTCTTTTTATTTATTTATTCCTGTTTCTAAAGTATTAAAAAATGCTCGTGATATTAATCCATTATTTTATTTGTGTCGCAAAGCGTATAAAAACTGAATGGATAATAAAAAAAAGAATAATATCAAAGTTTATTTAACTATACTTGTCGGGGTAAAAGCTTAGAATTTGGTAGAATTATGGTTTCAAATATAAATAAACAAAAAGTGACTCTCAGATTAAAACGTTCAATGCCTCATAGCCGGTTATGATATTAACAAAGAGAGAAAAATATGAATTCTCTAAATTTCCTCCATTTACAGAGATCCGCTAAAAGTTTTCAATTTTTAGATAGAAATATAAGGATAGCTCAATTGATCTTGAACAAAATAAAAGAATTTTGAAAATTTAACGCCATGTTATATCATTGTTAATAAAACCGTAATAAAACTTTAAAAAGGTTACTTGAACCCAGTCCTAGTCTACCTCACATGTTCATTATTCTTGTAGTAAGAAGGATATTCACTTTGGACTTTACAACTTCTAATTGAAAAATTCAATTTGATTAAAACATGTCAGCCGTAGTGCATTAACTAATTGAAGCTTCAGGCTTGAACACTAAACAGGCTTTGTTTCATACTTTGTACTTATCTTTTTAACTTTAGTACAGTCATTATAACCAGAAAGACCCGGAATTAATTGAATAAATCAGACGACTTTACATATATATCTTTTGTAATTTTAAACGCACAAGGCAGACCACATTTTGGAATTGGCAGGACTAGGTCTATTTTGTTATTATCGTTTCATTAATCATATTTGTGAAATTTTATTGTAAATTCGTCTGACTATAATTATAGATTAATTTCGGGTATTTCTGATATTATATAATATTTTATGAGCAGCCAAGAGACAGATTAAGTTTATCGTACAGATTTCCTAAAGAGACAGATTAAGTTTATCGTACAGATTTCCAAAAGAGACGACAAAGCTCAAAAGAGAAAGACAGGGTCAAAAGATAAAAAAGTCCCTTAGAATATATATAAAGATTTAACGAGAAATTAACGTCCAAAAAAAGGACGAAGACATAGTTCGAAATATTAATACAAAGTCCAAAAAAAGAATACAAAGTCGAAATGATGGGAAAAAAGTCCAAAAGATAAATACAAAGTCTTAAAGATAAATATAAAGTCTCAAAGATAAATATAAAGCTATGGGGAAAATTATGAAAACCTGGCCCCTCAGATTAATTTTCCCTCACGAGGATTATACTTTTCAATGTGATATTTATATTGTATAAATTCTAATCTTCGTGCAATAAATATTTGATTTGATTTGATTTGATTTGATAAAGTCTCAAAGATAAATATAAAGTCTTAAAGATAAATATAAAGTCTTAAAGATAAATATAAAGTCTTGAAGATAAATATAGTCTTAAAGATAAATATAAAGTCTTAAAGATAAATATAGTCTTAAAGATAAATATAAAGTCTTAAAGATAAATATAAAGTCTAAAAGATAAATATAAAGTCTTAAAAATAAATATAAAGTCTCAAAGATAAATGTAAAGTCTCAAAGATAAATATAAAGTCTCAAAGATAAATATTTAAGTCATTCAAGTTATTCAAAGTTTAAAAATGAAGCCAAAGTCCAAAAGACGAATACAAAGACCAAAATTTTTTTTAAAAATCGAAATTAGGGAAAATAAGCGCAACGTCTATTTTCAAGACTGGCTCGACTTTGAAGTGTTGCAACGCCTTAACTTTGATATTAGCCAACTACTACTACTACTAACTCACAATTCTCCTGTTTTTATAGCACAAGGCATTTACATTTTAGAACCATATTGATTTCTTCTTCAGTTTTAAAGAAGAAATTGGCAAATTCTCATCAATTTTTTGAGTTTGCAGCATTTGGATGACTGTGCACAATGTTAGTTTTTCTTCGAACAGTAAGGTATCATTGCCAATTTTATGTTCTTATTATTTGGCAAGCTAAGAGTGTGTTAAACCTAATCTAATAAATGATTTGGAAAGCTTTACAACAATAAAACAAGGACTGTAAGATGATTGTTTTTCAATTTAAAAAATACGAATTATCATCTTAGGCTTACGATTATTTTGCGATCATTACTATGTCTGAAGATATATGTACAGCGTATGATGAAATCTATTTAATCTAATGAAGTTTACAAATAATTACAATGCAAAAATGTTATACTTAAAAATAAGTTTTGATATATATAACTTAAAAGGTTTGAATTTATCTAGTTTGTTTTTACCTATTTGCCCAGGTGCCCACACAGGATAAAAACACTACCAGACAAACAAACGGACGAACATTCATCATCCTTCAAAACTATTTAAATACTTCACGTTTAATCCGCCATCACTTTCAAAGAATATTGGTATCCGGAGCTAGAATTCGTCCTACCAGTGTTTCGGAATACCCGGAGTAAACTAAACCTGAACCTACGGAGAAATCGGGTCGGTACCAACCAACCTCCGAGGATGACCAGACTAGGACGGGGGGTAGAGACTAGAGAGAGGTAGGTGAAGAGAGGTAAATGGAGAAACAATAAGAGTTAAACCTTTTAAAAAGGCACACGGAAACCGTTCATGTAAAGAAGTAATCTTTAAACAAAATCAATTAAAATAATATAAACACATATAATTGGCAAAACAAAAGTTTTAAAATGTTTAGAAGAAAGGGGTTGGATGAGTAAATAAATATTTCCTAAAGTATTGCAGATCAATAAATAAAATAATAAATGTTGCAGTTTTCCTTTGCAAAATTAAACTTGCTTGCAAATAAATCCTTGTCACGTGTCTCAGTACAACAAACTTAGTTTGGAAAGATTCCCCCAATTGTATTTGAAACTGATCTAAACTCAGTTTGCGGATTTTAAGCTTTATAAACTACATTGTCTGTATAAATTGTAAGATGGCGTAGAATTGCGGGCAAAGGCCTTTTTTTTATTTGGCAGATTTGCAAAACTTGAACTCAAGTTACTTTAGTTGAATTGTATTCAAGATTTATTTAAACACAAAGCACTGAGATGCTAAAATATAATTATAAAGAAAAAGTAAATAAGTTTCTCTAACTAATGAAAGAATGATTAATGGGGTAAGATAATATCTATTTCTTTAACCCCATTCTCATACAATGCAAAATGGCCTCTAACCTCCCCCCTAGACCAAGCAAAAAACAGGAAGTAACAAATCAAAACTTTCCATGTATAGGATGTCCCAATATCATAGCTTTCAACAAAAATTAACAATTTAGTTTTGCATCATACTCTTAAAAATATGTACAGTACAGTACAGTACAGTACAGTACAGTAAAGTACAGTACAGTAAAGTACGGTAAAGTAAAGTACAGTACAGTATGGTACAGTGCAGTACAGTACAGTACAGTAAAGTACAGTAAAGTACAGTAAAGTACAGTAAAGTACAGTAAAGTACTGTACAGTACAGTACAGCACAGTAAAGTAAAGTAAAGTAAAGTACAGTAAAGTTCAGTACAGTACAGTACAGTACAGTACAGTACAGTACGGTACTGTGCAGGGCGGAAAGGCGTTGGGATGTTACGACATTAAAGGGACTGTAAGCGTAATTTCAAGTTGTTACCCTACATAGAAAGAATTACCACCATTACGATTCTTACAAGCTTTGTCTGATGAAGGATGAACTAATTTTGAAAGCAGATTATTTTCAAGTTTGGTGTCTCTACATAATGTGACAATTGCACAGTATTACTGCAGGAAGACATACATAGAAAACATCTGAATTAAATACTTTTGAATCTAGAAAAACAACAATATCTTTCACTACATTGATAAAAAAGGTTTCAAGGGTACCGTTATGAATAGGGCATTGGTATTTTTGTTAAAGGATTACTTGAAATTAGCCATACAGTACCATTAACTGATATAATGCGACCCAAGACAAGAAAACTAATAAAATAAATCATCAAGTTCAACTCTGATGAAATGATTTTTTATCATAAAGAAGTGTGCAATCAAAAGATCAAGTACTTGTTAAAAAAATTAGTGTTCATTCTCATCTTATCTGTTCTTACATTTGTTTTACTCTTTTTGAGGTAAACATAGTTTAATATGTAGACTATAGAATGTAAAATATATTTTGGTTTCTATCTAGAGTTTGGAAATTTATACAATGTGCCAAAATATATAGATTTATATATATTGATGGGAAGTTTAAATATTTGGCTAATATGTACAAAACCTGTACAAACACTTCAGGACCGGACCCTTAACTTTAAACAACCAGCACGCTGCAGATTTTCTTAAAATCGAATTCATTCTTTCGCTATCATCTACGAAATATAAATTTTTTATTTAATAAAACTGATTTAATTATTTTCTATTTTATTTAAAAACTAACATATTTAAAATTCAAATTAAAAGGAATTAACCTTCCATTTAAAGGGTTACGTTTGTACTTTCCACAACGGACCCCTGTCCACCTTTGTACTTTCCACAACGGACCCCTGTCCACCTTTGTACTTTCCACAACGGACCCCTGTCCACCTTTGTACTTTCCACAACGGACCCCTGTCCACCTTTGCACTTTCCACAACGGACCCCTGTCCACCTTTGTCAAAGCAAAAATGATTGAGAAATCCTTTTTGAACCAGTAAAATTTGTTAACTCTCATAGTTTCTCTATAAAACTGACTTGCAGAGTTATGTACAAGAAACAGGGAAGTAAATTGGCAGATTTTGTAAAAGTAAATTCAACCTATAAAGTCTGACCGCGTCAACCTTGTTGCACCGGCTAGTCCTATTGAGTGTCTGCTTTATTTACCCAATGTCCGGGCGATAAACTGGAACAGGAAAGGTTGACCCGGCTCGGAAATATTAATGTACTATGGCTGCCCGTGTTCCACCCTAACCCTTAAAATTAGAGGTTTAGTTTTTCTAGTGCGCTGGTCTGAAAGAATTTGGACTAGGGACATGTATCACACTCCCCTATCTCAACTCTGAGGGCAAAATCATAAGGGCGATTTAGGGAGTGAACCCCCCTCTCCCCACACAATCTAAACTGGACAAAAATAGCTAAATCGGGATAGGGTAAAGTCCAAACAAAACAGTTTTAACGTTTCATGGTATGAAGTGTGGTTGGCCCAGCTTGTCAGGTTGTCAAAATATGTTTAAAAATGTATTGCGCTGCTGTCTTAAGATTTTCAATTTTCTAAAGAGAGAAAGGATGAGAGAGAAAACCCCCCGAGGGAATAATGAATATCGAATAAAACATTTTAGTGCATTGGTCAAACTTATACTTAGATAATATTGCAGTTTGGAACCAATTCGGTTGATTGCAGAAACAGTTGGGAAAATGAAAATTTTTTAATGCAACCTTTAAAATGTTAACAATCACTGTTATAGTGAGTTATAGTGACTACAGTAATGGTTTATTTGTTTAATTTTTGTAGAACATCTAAGGTTTTTGCTCTTTTAAAACGGACCAAACAAATACTGTGACTGTGAACATGTAAAGGTTCTAATATTGTAATCTTTAAGATTTTGTTATGTAAAACCGAACAAAAAGGAACAAAAAAACGATCGATTTTGGTTCGTTTTCTTGTAGGTCTTGTTGCATTTAGGGGCTTGCAGGGTTAAATATTTGGCATAGTGGAAGAAAGGCAATAGTTTAGACGAATTTGTTTATACAAATTTCTCTTCTCTTTTTTATTAAAAAGTAATTTTTTGTTAGGACTTAACTTCCTGCGCGGCGTGCATGCTTGTATATTGTATATTGTATATTGTATATTGTATATTGTATATAGAACTGGTTTCAATATTTACGCAGAGTATACGCAACTGCAATTAACTTTCCTTGCATTACAGCCTTGCCCACCACTGAGTTATTGGTTAGACTGGAATGAGGGTACAGAAAACACATAGATCCAGATTGTTATGAAAGGTTGCATCAATATTTAGGACTATGTCGATTTTGTTGTGAGTTGTGACGCAATTTCACAAATTAACTTATGCTTTTGCGTAGCCCCAGATATGAACAATTTTTGAATTATAAAGCAATTGTTTTATCTTAAGTTTTTAAAGCGTAGTTGGCAAAATTATAAACTTTTGTGTGAGAGATTGCAACCTTTGGATCAATGTGAAAACAAAATCAGCTTTTAAAAAATAGCTTTTAAATATACTATCCCGTAAATTAAGCTGCGAGGTACCATTGTGAGCCATGCTCTCACGTAATTGAACTTGAGCTAGAAATATTCGCATTGTAATTTTAAAATATATATCTCAATGGTTAAAGTATAAGAGAGTTAGTGAGGGAAATCCAAAGGCCTTTTAAAGTCGAGGCTGTGCTGTCGTAACATTTTAATGTCTTACTTTCAGAGGTGTCTCGATATCATTATCAGTAGCAAGGATTTAATGCTAGGAAAGTTATTTCAGAGGTGTACGCATCTTTTGTACTGCAGTGTACTGTCAGTGGGCGGTAATATAAACACAAGACGGATGTCT